ATCTGCACGTCCCAGATGGGACGCAGAGGGCTAAGCAGGTTTGCCAAGGACACGCAGAGAGTCTGTTGCAGACGGGGGCTTCAAGTCAGGTCTCCCTTATCCCAAAGCCGTCCTTCCTCCGGGGGCGATGCCCGCGGCTGCACACCTCCGCTGCGGAGTCTCTTCCTCCTCCATCAGGGCTGCAGGTAAAGACCGCACAGGCCACCCTGCTGTTTACTGCTGCAGGTCTCTTCTCCGGTCCTTCCCCACCCCCTTTCCTGCTACCTGGGGAGAAGCAGCTCTCCTTTTGCCTTGTTTCCATGGGAATGCAAAGGATGAAGGTGCTATCGTCTTCCCCGCCAATCCCAGCGAGGTGGGAGCCAAACCGCAGCACAGCTGCCTCCAGGCTGCCAGGAGCGGCGATGACGCAGGAGGTTTCCATGGCCCCCAGCACTGCAGAGACCCAGGCCGCGGGTGGATGGAGACCGCCCCGTGCCAATGAAGAGCATGGGCCCACTGCAAAACGGTGGTGGACGAAGCAACCCGCCACGCACCCATCATTTCCAGATCACGCTGGGTCCTTTTCCTCCGGGCTTCTGGTGCACGCACTTCACGTCCACGGCTTTATCCCTGCCACCGCTGCTTTTCTTTATAACTACAAAAGAGATTTCTTAGGCAACCCCCCGATCCCAGGAGCTGGAGCTCCCAGAAACCCTCCAGGAGGGCGAGACCGGACGGCCGGGGGGCGCGGATCAGGCCCTTTGTTCCCTTCTTGCATCTCAAGAATATCCGAGACAGTCACGAACAAACTTTAAAAATGGATTTCTCCTGCAAGGAGAAAAACGCGGGAAACCGTGGCTTTTTCCTTGCAGGCTGGCAGACTGCCACCCCCCGCCCTGCACACCCACCCACCCCGTCCCACACATTGCGGGGCTGGGGCCGGAGGGCAGCGGGTCAAGACTGGCCATCGAGGTCTACAAGTGGGTCCTGGTACAAAAAAAGCTGAGAACCACTGCATAAGAGCACATGGCTTGGCCTGCCTTCCCCCTTTGGGACCTGATCCTATCGGCAAGACTGAAGTGGGGGATCCGCATCTGGTTGGATCAGGAGGGCTTTAGAGGAGCTCAAATTTGCACAGGCTGAATGAACTCGCAGCGTTTTACGGGCAACAGACAGCTGCTTCGTCTGATCTCAGCTGCGTTTTCCCAGAAATTCTGGTTAGTGGTTTCAGCCGACGTCCAGTTTCAAAATGCCTCAATTACAGGATGTAAATGCTTTTTAGATGCCTGATCTATTGCAATTACAGGCATCAGGCGGACGCCTTCATTCATCACGTCGTCTTCCAGGCCCGCTGCTTAGCGAGCCTGCTAGTCAGCACGTTCACGTTAAGCAAGAAATATGGCTGCAAGAACTAGGCACGAAATCTTACCGTCAGGAAAATGTCGAGACTCAAAAGCCTGCGTAACCGCTCTTTGCACGACGCCAACTCGAACCCTTCAGGGCAGATCTCTCCCTCGAGCTCAGCAGGGGGCTATTACCCTGCAACGACACTCGTGTACGCTACGTGTGCTTGAAGTCTGCAGAGGTTACTGCAGATTTCGGACTTTACGCCAGATTCCCCCTTTCTGCCGTCATCTCTCACCTCCGGCCCTATTTCCATAAAGACGATGGCTCGGCGAGATTAGGGAGAAGTATTCCCGGCACGCGCGGCGGGGCAGATTCCTGGGTGAGGACACCTCCTGGGACCGGACACACTGCAAGGTTTCGGCAGCAGGGCTCCGGGGCACCTTGCTGACACCCCATCCATCCAACCGCCAGGAAAACAAGGCTCTTGAGGCGGTAATTAGATCAGGCGTGCTCTGCCCGAGACATGGGCTGCTGCTTGAACCAATAAGCTGTCCTTGTTATAAAATCAATCGAGTTACATTTACGAGGCGCAGCCGACGTCGACAAATGGATTCGCTGCAGGGCTTTTGGCTGGCTGGTCTGTTGGCCCCAAATGAAGGTACCGGCCTTAGTTATTACTCGTTTAAACCCACCGACAGACTGGAGCGCGCTGACAACCAAGTTGTTATTAAAACATTCAAATGCTTTTTTTCCTTTTTTTGATATCGGGGCACGTCAGACAGGGATGTCTATGTGCAGACGGCTGTCCTGCTTGGAAATCTGTTTATTAAGGGCTCGGGGCTGCAAGTGGACCCAGACAGGCAGAGCTGCAGGACCAGACACAGACCTGCTGGGGCAAGCGCGAGCAATGGCAAAAGCCCACTGATGTTGGAGAGCCCCATATTTTACCCCCGTCTTCAAACATCCCTGTCGCAATCGTCCTCGGTGCTAGCCTGGATAACGAGCCGCACAGAGAAAACCTCTTGCTGGAAGACTGCAAAAACTAATCTTAGAGCAGATGCGGGTCCCTTCGCTGGGGCTCATGAGCTCTCGTTGCTTTTCTTCCACTAACTCAGTGCTTACGGCCAAACATCAAGCCATGACTGGATGCCATTTGAGTAAATTATATGGTGTAGATCATGTCTCCACTGCAGGCACCACTGTGGCTACAGTACAGCCTAGAGATACCCCAAGCTAGCTTTAAATGCGCTAGCTCAGGTACGGGAAGCAATCAAGCTGTCAGAGCAAAGAGCTCAGCAAAGGCCAATTCATCCTGCCAAGCAGCAGCTAGACTGCTCCCAGTCCCCCAGCTATGTCTACACCGCACCGCCGTCTCAGACGGACAGTAGCATGCAGCCCTCCAGACTCAATGAATGCTGCAGAAACCATGTAGGGAACTCCTCCGGCCTCAGTTAGCCGGGAAGTCAGAGGAAATGGGTATAAGAAGCCCTCCTGGCCTCACTATGAGTTACGTAGCCCTGTCCGCACTGTGACCACAGACTTCACAGCAAGGTCTCCCTCATCTCATACCCCAGGCGTGGGCTCAAGCGATGGTTTTGCTACCCAACAGCCGGCATCCTCAGATCAGGTCCCTGCAGCACGTGCTGCTACGTCCAAGGATCCCAGCTTTCAGCCGTGCAGACCACAGCACCCTAGCCTGGCGTGACCCACGGGGCCCAGCCCATCCAAGGGAAGAGCTATTTTTATGCCCTCCAGAAGACAACACCTAAGTGGCTTAAGGGATTTGCAGGAAGATTACTGCCAACTTCAGTGCAGCTGGGGGCTGGCCTCTCCCGCGCTGGGTTAAAGGTCTCGCTGTGCGATTTAAGCCTCTTTCTGTCATTCATTTCCCACCCCCCCCACCCCCAATCCAACACACCTGCAAGCATCTATCATCACAGGTCCCGTGACCCCCTCCCCACGACCTCCTTTGGGTCAAGCCCGGAGGAAGCGGGTCACGAAAAGCGGCCAGACTTCCCTCGGCCGCCCGGCCCGGGCGGTGCACAGCCGCGGGGGCCCGGGACTGCAGGAAAGCTGCCGGCGCCGAGACTTTTCCTGGCAAAGCAGACGCGGAGCAGATGGCATCAACGCTTCCCTGCACCGGGCCCGTCTCACACCTCCGTGGCTGTCAGAAGCAGCACCCAGCTCTCGGAGAAGCCAGGGCCAGAAACGCGCCCAAAGACAAGCTGTGTTTTGTTGATAGTAAATGCTGCTTCTGACAGCCCCAGCACAACAGCTGACAGCTCTCCAGGGCTCCTGCCAAGCCCCGAGCCCCCCCACCAGCAGCTCGCTTCCTTCCTGCCTCCCAGCCCAGGATACAGATGTCCCGCGGAGCCAGGGGATCAACACGGCAGCCCGCGACCTCCGACACAGCGCTGCAGCTTCAAAGCCAGACGTCGGCAGACCCCGAGCTGCAACGGTGCGTCCGCTGCCTCCGCCTGCAGAGAGAGCGCACCCGCCTTGCGCTCGACGGAGCAACCTGGCCGGCAAGGGGAGAGTCGTGTTGCACGTCACTGAACCGCGTCACGAACCCCCGGTCCGCTTAACGCTCCCAGACAAAGCCCGCGCCACGTGTCCGCTGGGGCTGCTGGAGCTCTGGCCCTTCCAGAAATGCAGCAGACCATGCAACTCCCAGGTCCCCCCAAAATCATGCATCGGGTTCCCCCAAACTTTAGGATTTTTAAGTCAAGCTCAAGGTTGCTAAGGCCATAGTCACTTTTTTTTTTTTTTTGGCCTCGTGATGCTGGAGTCTTTGCAGATCGCACCTTTCTCCCCAGCTGGGAGGGCCAGAAAAAACCTCTCCTTTGGAAGGAAACTGCAAATTTCTCACCTAAGTCCTCTGGTCCCAGCAGCGGGGACTTGGAGGGAAACGCACATCTGGCAGCACTATCTCCTCCCCAGCATCTCTGCTGGGAACAACCTGGGGCAGGGCCAGCCGCGGCCTGAGGATGTCCTGCAGCCCTCTGCCTCTGGCACAAGAGCTGTTACTACACTAGCCCCAGGGACTGAGCATGCAGCCCCCAGGCCCTGAAAATCATCCAAGGGGTTTTTAAAACAGGAAAGAATCTGGAGCTGGCCTGGGGTCGCTGAGAGCCAAGCTCTGCCTTGCTCTTGCAATCTCGGCCCGTCTCTTTTCGCCTCCATACTGCCCAGAGGTGCCCGGGCACGGCAGATGCTGCCCACGCGTCTGAGCACCTCCAGAGGTATCGCGGGGTAAGGACTTGCCTGTGGGAAGCTGGGCTCAGAGCTGAAGGCGTCAAGGGCTGGATGCGTTTCCTACCAGCTGCCCCGTGCACCGGCCGCAGCAAATTGCAACAGCTTCACGCAGAAGAAACTGCACGAACTGCTTCCTCCCTGCCCCTCACCCAAGGGACCTGCACGGATGTGGTCGGACCCCCTCCCGGGCATTGCTGTCCTGCCTGGGGTCTCAGCTGGAAAGTCCCTGCTGAGTCCAGCCAGGCTACGACGTGATGCAGGTTTCAGTTTAGCAGAAATGAAAGGCCAGGCAAGAATCCCTCGTGGCGCGGGGCGGCAGGATTTCACACAGGTCACTCAGAAACGCTCCTTCAGGACAGAGCCCCGAGACCAAAGGGATGCTGCGGAGGTGCCAGGTGCGCCCGCCCCCGGCTCCTTACCTCAGCCTGTGAGGCCGGTGGGCCGGGGACGCGGGCAGCACGCAGGACTGGCACCACTTCCACAGGAACTTGGTGTGACGGAGAAGCCAGTCCCTCCGAAGCCAGAGCATTGTGGAGAGCTGGACGCGGGCGCCGGGGAGACCGCTCAGCTGCCTGCCAGCAGCCTCGGAAGAGCAGTTGCATCCTCCGCCCTGCTCGCTGCTTTAATTGGAGGGCTTTTTTTAAATTCCCATCACGTGTTGCAAGCTGCTACTTCTTTTTTTTCCCTTTCCTTTCTTCTTCTAACCTCCCCAGACATCCAGCCCCAGCACAGGGAGCCGACAGCCCTGACAGACGACTCCGGGCTTGCTGGAAACCAGGTTGGCACAGCCACTGCTTCCTGCCTCCGTGCCCCTCACCCTGCCCACGCCTCACCCCCCCACCGGGGACCCGAGCTCTATCGCTTGCAATACCAGCAACGGTTGCACACACGTACTGCCAGCCGCTGGGTCTCGCCAAAACCCAGGTGATGCAGGATGCTCTTGGCTTCGACTAAGAAGCGCCAAATATGCCCTACGGCCAGATTTACTAGGCAGCCAGGGGAAAGTCAGGGGCAGCCCCACTGACCCCAGTTACACGCGGCTGCATCGCGGTGAAAGGTCAGAGCTTGCAATCTTTAGCAGAGGGGTCCATGTTGCACTTCACAGCCAATGGACCACCCCCCGCCCTGGTATTGCTGCTGGGGCGGTGACTGCCTGGGGTCTCAGCTGAGTCCAAAAGGGCTACAACGCGATGCAGGTTTCGATTCGGCAGAAATTAAAGGGCCCCAGCTGAGAAACACCTCCGTGGCAATGCCTTCCCGTCAGGCTGGGCACTGCAAAGCCAGATGGTGCCATCGGCCCGGACCTACGACGTGCCAGTCCAGCATCCGGTGCGAGCTGCTCCGGGCTGTGCAGACAAGCCCTCCAGCGGCTGGTCTAGCAAAACACAGGGGATTGCAGAAGAGCTGGCTGCCCTTCCTTGCACCTCAGGTGCCATTTCAAAGGGCGATCCACGATACGTGCAGGTCTGGAGATGCCTCGCGGGCCCATCTCCATTCACACTCCTTCTGAGGCCACACATTAGCCGCTCAAGGGCTTACAAGGCCAATTCCTGCTCATCTCCCCCCGATCAGACCGACCGACCCGCTTTGGCAAACAGGGCACTGCTTGGATGCTTAGATTTCACACTGATCTTCAGAGCATTATCAGCCACGGTGGATTATGCTCCCACTGCGATGCTGCCCAAGCGTATGCCCAGCCGCCAGATGAGACGGATAGCATCTGTGCTTTACAGCGAGAGGCAACTGTTCCCCCGCTCCCCTCAAGCGTGCACCTTACTGGGCAATAAACGGCTCATTTCCTGGTGCCCCACTGCCTGCGATGTGACAGCCGGGCTACATGCTCCGCTGACGTTACCCGCACCGATGCACGGGGGCAGCCAGCGTGCACTGCACGTGGTGGCATTGCACGGTCGCAGTTGGCTGCAGAAGCCACTTCCCTTAGAGAGAAACCACGAGCTTTCCCCCTCACCCCCTCCAAGCTGCTCACACCGTCACTGCCCGCCTCTCTCCCGGCTTAGGAGCCGGCTGTGCCAAAGCTCCCACTGCTGTCTGCAGGGAGGGTTCATCCCAAAGCTTTCCGAACGAGTTTGGGAGGCTGCAAGGGGCAGCTCCGCCTGCCTGCTGGTCCCCGGGTTTGTCTCAGCCACCCTCCCTTCCTTGCCATGCATGGCCCGGCTGTGCCCTTGGGCTAAACCCACCTTTGTGCGCTGACCTGGGGACAAGAAGAGACGTTTCACTACCCTGACCCAAGCCCCTTCTCTTGCCTACTGGGGAGCCCCCAGTAGGGGCAAGGAGCCTATCCACCCCGCGAGCAGAGGGAAGCCCTAGCAAGGGCTCGGCCATGCTTTGCACTAACAATTACCCTTAGCGCAGCCACCCGTAAGTCCAAGACGTGAGCCCGGGCCCCTTTGTGCTGGGCATGGCACGAATAGACAGCAGCCCACGCTCTTACTAAGCCTCAGACAACCTCTTGCGAGACCTGAAATACCTCTCCTCCTTTCCCGGGGGAGGACCAATAGATGCAGACAAAGGACTTGTTCAGGGGCAAGAAAAAGGCGAGCACAGGGACTTGAGCAGGAGACCTCGGGGGGTTCAGCCTCAGCCATGCCAAAGTCTGGGAAACAGCGACCGCGCATCTCACTTCCAGCCAAGGGGTCTCCCAGGGGTGCCACGGTGTACCTGGAGGGATATCCACCCCCCACACGTACACAACGCCCTTGGCACGGGGGGAGACGAGATCTCGGGCGCTTGTGGAGCAGCCGGACGGCTGGGGAAACCGAAGCAGGCAGTCCGATAGCCGGTGGCGCAGGATGGTGAGGATGGAGGAGGGTGGCGGTGCCCCCGAGCATCTGGCAGCTCCAAGGAACGAAGAACCAGATTCCTCCCCGCTCAACACATTCCTCGGTGGCCCAGGAGGCCGGCCACGGGCCGAACGCCCCAGCAAGCAGTCCTGGTTCACTCCCATTTGATTATAGGCTGCACACGCGGTTTTCTGCCAGGGAACAGCCTCTAACCACTAACTACTCAGACCCTGCGAGGTGGAGGGATGGGAGGAAACACAGCCCAGAGCCACGGCCACCCCCATCCCCAGAAGTCGCTCCAAAAAGCTTGGATCTGACCCAGGGTGTGAACGGGGACCAGATACAGAGTCACAGCCCTAAAGATAGGGGAAACACAGAGAGACTGATAGCAGCAGGCAGGTATTTTACCCTCTCGGCCCCATGCCAGGGAGTCTGGGAAACTTGCTACTGAACCAGCCTAGGCAGCTGCGGCCATAGCCAAAACGTCCAAGATGCAGAAAAGAAGTCAGCCCAAAAAGCAAATGCAAGCTCAAGAGCTGCACCAACTCAGGGGTCTGGAAACGGCAAAGGATCCTGCAGACACTGAGCAGAGCAGGTGCAAATCCTGCACCGACCTGCTCTAAGCACAGCCCAATGTTAGCCCCTGCATCTGCAAGGGCTGGTCGCAACCGCCGTGGCAGCTCCGCATTTCGGTACCGCGGCACTGCCGAGGTGAGGGGCCCTGCCCCACAGACGTGGCCGTCACCCAGAGCCGACCAAGCGCAAGAGAGGAGGCAGAGATGGAGAGACTGACCTGTGCAACCCTAGGGCAGGGGGAGCGGCAGAGCCAAGGGGATCTGCAAGGAGCCGCAGCAGGAGACCTGCACGCGCGGCCAGTTCACGGTGGCCTGGAGCTCCACTGGCAGGAGGAGGAAAGCAACGCAAAGCCCCAGCACAGGAAACAGGCATTGTTGCTCAACACAATGTGCCTCCCAAGAGCCCAGCCACGCTGCAGCGGTGCCGAGCGGAGAGCAACTGCGCAGAAAACCCAGTGACGCACCAAGAGCTCCAGCCCTGCCAGCCTGTGCCCCCTGCCCCCATGTCCGGGCTTCCCACCCTGCACCTGCTTGGCCAAAAGTCATATCACAAGCACTGCCCAACACTAGCAACAGCTCCGAATGCTCCTCTGCATCCCAGGTGCGTCGGCGCTGGGTCAGTGCAGAAGACCCAGGACCGGGGGAGCCCCGACCTGCTGGGAGCAGAGGGCCCCAAGGGTGAAACGCCAGAGGTTTGCGAGTCCATCACAGGCCGCTCAGCTTTCCCACGAACAGCATCTTGGTGAGGGAGCGTTTCATGCTGTGCGAGAAGTCGAGACCTGTGATTTTGGCTCCCTAAACTATGAGCCTCGAAGTGAAGGCCTGCCTGCGATGGAAAGGCATTTCGATTGCAGCTGGGAGCACTCTGGTTTGAAAGAGTACTCCAAAGCTTTGAGGGATTGCGGGGGGTGTCTCCAAGCTGCACGCTACCACGCCTTGAGTATGCGTCCTTCTGTGACAAAAGGGGCGAGATCCAGCCCTTGGAGAGCTCTTCGCCCTGCACTTTAATATTTCTTTCTGCAAAGTCCAGATGTGCCCAGCTCCCTACTGTGCATGGAGGTCCCTCCCCGCAGTCTTTCCAACAGGCTCTACCGTCACCGCCGTACTTGGTGGCTGGTGCAGCCAGGAGACAGATACGCCAACAAGGGACTTCCATCGCAAAGCGGGTGCAAAAGCAGCAACCCCACACTGCCTTGCTGCCCAGGGACTTGCCAAGTCAAGGATCCTTCTTGGCTTAGAGCCAGCATGGAGTCACTGCACCAGTGTGACGGGTGTCTGTGCTACCAGGTGCACCCATGCACCCAGCTTTTTGCATGACCCTCACCCCAGCATCCAGGCCAACTCCAGCTCAAGGTGCATTGCAGCTCTGTACTCGCTATTCCTGCTAAAGGTGCCCTGTGGTGATGTATAAGCCTCCTCCCCACTGCTCCATGTTGCCACACAGCTGCCGTGTTCCACCCCAGAGCTGGTTGCATTTCAGAGGCGCGGGAGGACCCAATGGTCAGTCTTCTCCTCTAAGCACTAGCTCATTTTATATCTCTTTCCCACCCTGGCTCATTGCACTGAACAGCAGATAAATGTGGCTTAACATCCAAGTAGCTGCCAACTGGATTATATCTGCTTTCTTTAGCTTTCAGTTGGAGGGGGAGTGGAAAATCCCATTTGTATCAGTTGAGCCTAAACTAGTTAGAAAATCGCATCTGTCAAAGAAGATTTAATTTAAAAAAGTACCTGACAGCGGGGAAAACTCAGACAGTCAACGGGATGATTTCCCACTGAGAGTACAAAAATAGCCAGGCTCAAAGTCCCACAGACTGATTTTGCGGTCAGGCTGTGTCCCCTGCATGCTAAGAGGTAGGATGTCATTTTTGCTTCGTGGCTTCAGTCAGCATGTTTTTGATAACAGGGAGGTGGCTCTGTATCCCAGAGGCTGAGCTGGCTGTTCGACGCACGGTGCAGGAGGGCAGGCATGGAGGGGGGCAAGGAGGAGAGCTTGGGCAGGGACTTGAGTCACGTTGGAGCTGCAAGCAACAGAGGAAGAGATCACAGGATGGCCTCCCTGCCTCGAGCGGCCTGGCCAGGTGCAGCCAGCTTTATTTCAGGGCTGGGGCCAGCCAGGCTCAAACCACTTCTCAGGTCAAGAGCAAATGGTGCATCATTCGAGGTACCTCAATCATGCGACTTCTGGTCTCAACTAGAAAGGACGGG